GACCAGCGCTCTCAGCTGACATGTTGGGGTCACAAAGCCGAGCACCGTGGGTGGGCGCCTCCCACCAGGGCCCCCCTTTTCTAGAAGAGGAACCCATGCTGCCTTAGGTTTTTCTCTTCCCAACTTTGTCAAGTAGCTCAACGTCTTTCCTTCAAATAACTCATTCGAGTTGTTCAGGGGGTTAGAATCTTCTAAATTTGCAAATTATTGGATTTAACCTTTTTAAAAATACCAACACCCGCCCCCATGCCAGCCCTGCAGACGGAGGGCCCTGTCCTCGGAATTTCAACACCCGAGACCTCACTCCCATGTACTTAACGTGTAAAGCTTAAGCGACCGTGGGCATTTACCCCCGGCATGAACACCGACGTTCACGAACAAACACGTACAGGCATGTTCACAGCAGCTGCACTCAGAGCTGAACACGGAACAGGCTCGCACCGGCGTGGCCCACACCACGCACCCCCTTCCCCCAGCAATGGGAGCGGCCAGGGAGCCCAGGAGTGGGGGTGCCACGGGGCCTGGAGCGGCACAGCGCAGGAGGCACCTGACACTGCAGGAAGGCGGGTCTCTCCGGGAGGACAGCCCGGAGGCCCACAACCTCCGGCCACAGCAGGAGGCTCCCTCAGCAACCAGTGGTTTCCCTACCTCGTCCCCATTCCGCCGAGGGCCCACCAGGACGCCCATGTCCCCAGCAGTCACACGGGCGCCCTGCCCCTTCTCCACAGGAAGCGCCTCCTCCCCGGCCTGCGTGCCTGCCAAGCAGGGGCTGGGTCCTCCCTGTGACTAATGGGAAGAGGATCAGAAAGTACTGGACAAGCCCCTGGCCCGGACGGGACCCCCTATTTCCGGGTTCTCCCTTGCGCTTTCTCTCTCGTTTATGGAGCTGAGCTCATCTGCGTTCTTGCTGATCACAGTCGTATCAGGTGCAAGGTCACAATCACTTCGGACCCTGCACGTCTATCCCAACGTCCAAACAGTCGTACTGACCCTCATGTGAGGCTCTCACCTCCCCTCCCCGCCCCCAGGGCCGCGGGCTCTCACTGGGGCTGCACCACAGCCCCGCACTGGACTCCTCAGAGCCTCCACCAGGACGGGGAGGGGCCGTTTCAGGCCTGTGCACACCCACCCACCAGGTCTCCGCGCCACCCTCCCCTTAGGGTCCCCCACCCGTGCTCCCCACTGCTCCTTCCCATCAGCCTGTTTCCCACCAGAGGTCATGGGTAGTCGAGGTCACCACCACAGGCAATGTGGTGAATCTCAAAACATGGGGACGAAAAGCAAGAACAAGATGTGGCCCCGGAGCAGGCAAGCTGACCGGCGCGCTGAGGACACGCCCACCGGCACGCGCCTGTCAGAACGCAGGTGAGTGCTGGCGTCCGTGCAGGTCGCTGCCCTCCATGATACCCGATGACAACCAGGACGGATGAGCAGGACGAGAGGAGCCGGCCACAGGCGTGTTCCGTCCTAATCGCTCCTCAGCAGCTGCTCATTTCAGCGTCTCAGCAGGAAAGGCCGCCCGTGGGGTCACCCCGGCCGAGGCCACGTGCAGGCAAAGGGGTCAGGCTGGGCCCAGAGGGGGCCTGGGAGGGTCACACTCCTCATGCACTTGTGCTGGGACAAAGTCAGCAGAGTGTGTCCTGAGGGGACCTTGAGAGGTTCGGGGCGGAGGTGGGACAGTCCCTTCAGTGGGCCTAGCCCAGCAGTCACCCTCCCACGGGGGACACAGGCCCACGCGCCAGGCCGGCCCGATCGCACAGCCCGGCTCCCTGTTCAGGATGAACAGCTCGTTAGGTCTGACCCACCTCCATTATCTCAGATCGGCCAGCTGGCGCGCGTCTAAATGCCCAAATCCCATGGGCACTCGCCCTGTCAGCGTGCATGGCCCTCAGGCCTCCTCCAGCCCAGGCGCTGGCCAGACAGAGAGGACAGAAGGCTGGGTTCACACGGGGAGCGACCCCCCATGCAGCGGGCACCCAGCCCCACACCAATCTCACAGCGAGGCTGATGGGAACGCAGCTCCGACCCTGAGCAGGAGGGCGGGGCAGGACCGACTCTGACCTGACCCACCACTGTGACCTTCAGCCACTGCCAGGCACCCCACGGCCTCAGGCTTTTAAGGCAACTCGACCCCCTGTCACCATCAGATCTACTGCGGAGCCCTCCATCCGAGAGGAGCAGGGCGCCGGGTGAGACGGGCGAGCGCAAGGCGAGGCCGACCCGCTGTGGGCTGACATTCTCACGGCTGCTGCCACCAGGCATCCAGGCCCTGGTTACCCGGAATGAAACAGGCTCCAGTCGCCAGCTGAGGGAACGTCCCTGCCCTCCTTCCAGGCTAAACCTGCATCGGTCATCTCGACTTTTTATCCTGCATTTCAACTGTCATTATAAACCGTGGCAACACCTGCACACGGAGCGGTGCGGGCAGGAAGTCGATGAGACAGTAACCTTCGTGTTTTTCTAGGCTCGTTTGGCGAGGACAGTGAACCCGGTGGGCGGGCGTTCTGAGCGCAGCACACGGCCCCGCAGGGAAAGGCGCCCCCGGACTCTCACCTGGGGACTCGTCCTGGAAATCCTATTTCGGGGACAATGAGCTTTTGAAGATGTGGAGCTCAGCTGGCCTGGGAGCTGTGCACTCGAGTTGCCAGTACTTTTCCGAGTCACAGCTGGGCCGCGTCCCAGGCTGACTGTGGGGCAGCACCAGGAGCCACAGCAGACAGCGCTCCTGCCAGCGGGTCTGGGACAGGGCAGCCCACCCCACCCGTCAGTCCCCACCGGCCTGGGACGCTGCAGAGGCTGCTGGGAAGCGGGCAGAGCGCCAGCGTCAGACCCCCCAGGCCGCATGCTCCCTCTGGCCCTCCCAGACCAGAGAGAGCTGGGCCGACCGCAGTGTGGAGCAGGGAAGCCATTGCAAAACGTCCTGAGCATCCGTGTACGAGGCAACCGAAGCCGAGAGACAAAGGGGGCACCCACGGGGCTACAGGAGGCTGCCCTGCCCGGCTCCCGGGGAGGTGCCACTCTGTCCGGCATCATATTCCAGCAGAACGGAGCTTCCCTGGGAGGAAAGTCAAGTGCCCCATCGCTAACACCGCCACCGCTCCTTCTGCAAGGACTGCAGGTTAGGAGGGAACCTCGACTCCCGCTGTGGTCACTCGGAGGGTGTGTGGAAGGGCGGCCGGATGGATAATGGAAGGATGGATGGGTGACTGGGTGGGTGGGTAGGTGGATGGATGGGAGGG